ACTGAGCTGATAAAGCTAAGAGGTCCACAAAGAGTTTATGGGCGTCCTGGAGAGCCTGAAAGTGTTTGCTCTTTGACTCAGTAAAACCAGGAAGAGATGGTTATAAAGTGTTATTATCATGCTCTGGTGTATTATACTACACTGTGGATAGTCATGTGGGGCATGAATGGTTTGAGGTAGAAGAAATAAGTTTGCACGTGGTTTGAAAGATCTACGCATTTTAATTTTTTTGTCAATACAGAATCTGCTTTTTTGGCCTTTAAGTAAAGGAATTTGACTCCAGTTCTGTTGCCCTCAATGTACATACACAGAAATAGACATACACTTAAAACAAGGACAACAAAGCTGAACAAAGATAAAACTTAAATATTTAACTGCTATGTAAAGATATAAATATATAATTCTAAAAAGGAAAGTATAAAACACTGTAACAATAACAATGATTTCTGTAAACAGTAAGACAATAGTGCAGTGGTGCAAAGGGTGCTGGAATAGATATGAATGGTGAGAATGGTCACACTGCAGCAATTCAGCTATTTACACCCATCCCAGTGACATGTTATGAATCCCACTGCTGGCTGTGATTGGCTAGTACTCGTCACATTTACATGTCAAGGTCGGAGGCGGTTAGGATTAGCACAAAGATGTCATGGTTTGGGCCAGTACTAGACATTCCCAGATATTCTCTGAGATTAAACTGGTAGTTCAAGAAGAAAAAACCTCACAAATGTACCGCCAGAGCCAGGTTTATTAGACACAATCCAAGGAAGGAGTAACAGGTGATGGATGAAGCACAAGACTTTCACACAAGAGTCTGGGGTTAGAGTCCCTTGTGAGGCTATGTTGGCTCATGATTTTCAGTTTTCAGGATGTTTAAAGCTGCTGAATGCACATTGTGGACATAAACTTTAGCAGAATCGAAAAATATAAATGTGGTGCCGTGTCATGTTCTTGTTAACATCATATTTCAACGTTACTAGGATGTCCAGGAATATACAGCTGGGTGCAAACAGCATCTCACTTCATGTTATAAGGTTGCGTTACACACATGAGGTGGGTGGATATGACAGTACATACAGTGTGCTTGAAATTTGTATTTGACTTTCATGATATGTTTAATGTTGAAAAAAAAACAACAATGGGTATTTAAACTATATAAATATATATTTTATAAGTATCATGGATGTTTAGTGTTAACATGGATGGAAACATGCTGATATAACTACTGTTATTTCACTCTGATCTCACTTAAAAAAAAATTTGGCATAAGTGAAGTAATATTGTTTGTTCATTTTTTTCTACAAGTGAGGGGACACTTTTTTTAGTGTAATTTTTTTATACAGGTTTGATTTTAACCTCATGTTGGCTTCATTCTGAAGTCATGTGGAGAACAGAATCAGCAGTAATCAGAGTACTTGCTAACTTTTAAGACAGAGCTGAAGTCCCCTATATAGAGTACATACAATTGTTCCTCACAAAGTACACAGCAGCACGTAACAAAAAGCTTTTCTTGTCCCTGAGTGATTGATGCACTGTTACACTGCTTGTACATTTCTGAGTGTGTGTTTTGCAGTGTTTGTGTGTGTGTGTTTGTCCATTATGGTTTATGACGTATTCTTACATGCACTCATTAGTGTGTTTGAAACAGAACGAGAGAGATAATAGAACGACCGTTTTAATCAGCCACCTGATCAAACAACCGCTGTCTGTTTTGTACGAATGCCTGTAAAGGCTTTTGAGTGCTGATGCCTTTTAGATTTAAAGGAGGACACGGAAATATATTGTGCAAGAAGCTGAGAGGAGAAACTGTGCATAGCTTAAAATCACTACAGAGTGAATAAGGGTAAGATCATTCAGCTGAAACACATACAAAAAGCTCAATTTAAGCCCCTACGAGTTTCAGTTTTTTGGAAAAGCTCATATTCAGCTATGTTTTCATGAGAACTGAAATAGAGACAGCTAAATTTCAGTCAGGATCTTGACTTTAACAGCCATACAAGTATTCTCCAGTCAGTTTTCTTGTCACTTTTCAGGTAATAAGTTAATCAACAGGTAAATCTCCTCCTTCAGATGAAAGGAAAATAAAAGCATGTACGGATGAATGAATGAATGGATGGATGGATGGAGGGGTAGGTTTTCACCTGACATTTTGGCAGCTTGTTTAGGAATATATACCACTCAAGTGTGTTTGTTCTGCGCGTGTATGTGTCGTGTTTCACCGGCCTGTTTGCCAGCCCTCGGGGGATAATAGTCTCAGAGAGGCGGCTGTGCTTTTGACCCCGACAGCGCAGCTATAGAGCAAAACCAAACACACCTGCGGCTCGAGAGCCTCAGCCTTTTATATGGAGACATTTGTACTCCGCCTCTACACACACATCGAGAGCGGTTAACTCAAGAAACAGGATATCGTCCTGATAGGAGGCTGGAGTGCCTCAGAGTCTCTGATGTGGGGTTGAGGTGCTTGTTGTATTAAAGCGGCTTCTTAGGTTCAATCATGTGGGGATAAAGGAGATCCATGCTGCTGTAAATGTGTTTATGATCACTTTAAGATTTTGTTGAACTAATAAGGATGGGATATTTTAGAAACATGCCATATCATGAGGAAGTTTTTTTCTTAAAAACACTTTCTGTTATCCTTATTTCTTTGTTCTTCATATCACCTGACCCCCCTGTGCTCTTTGGACCCCCACGCTCTGCTAATGGCTGCCACTGAGTGATTGATGGTCAATAGAAGAAGCTATCTAATCAGCACTAACGAGGCCCACGCTGGTAATGAGTCCTTGATGGCCCCAACAGCCAAAGACAGTCAAACTCTCTTGACACTGGCTGATAAAAGAGTTCCTCTGGGACTTTTCAGTCTAGGACGCAATTTAGAAATACATTTTGTGCCATTAAACCTCTGCAGGATAACTAACAACAAGAAAAAGTAATGTTCCAGCTCAGCAACATATAATGTTGATTTAAAAAAAATGGAAGACGCTGAGGTAATAATCTAAGAGAGACATTAGTATTTATTTTAGTGATTGTTGGGGAAAAAAAATCAATGATGAACACAAACAGGTTTCTTTGTATAAAAAAAAAAAGTGTCTTAAAATTGATGTACAGCATTATCCAAGTGTCTTGTATCCATTCATAGGCTTAAAAAGAGCATTTTAGGTTTACAATTTGGCTGAACACTGAAGGAATTCCAACATGGAGAAGTTTCAGCTGGTTGCAAGCTTTAATCCTCACCACTAGATGCCACTAAATCCTCCTAAATCTTACACACTGTTCCTTTAAGATGACATTTATTGAAAATGTCATATAATAATTCAGGACATGAACTCTTCCTTTTGGCTCTGGAAAGTATCAAACCAGTTCAAGGACTTTGGCTTCAGCAGAGTTTTACTGTTTAGTTATCTCCTTTCAGTTTTGTTTGTGCTCCTGCCTCGCATTGATTCTCAGACATTAATTTCCACCTTGGCGATGAAACATGCATATTTTTTTTTTCATGTTGTTTGCATACCAGCCTATTCAACAGCTTTTGCTCTGTGTTGATGATTAGCTCACTGTTTGGAAATAGCACGTTGTGGCACAGCAGAGAAATGTCAGTGTTTGGGTGGGGTAGGATAAGTGTTGTGTTAGATTGACTTGGCACGTTGTTCTTTGGCGCCTTGAATATCCGCCTCGCAGTTTCTGTCTTTTCATTCCTTTTTATCCAGAAGTACCTTATAATTTTGAAACAATAGGGTATGCTTCGATCAGGAAAGTATTTCCTTACTCATAAACATTTGTTACAGCATTTTACATTGTGGTGTTGTTTGCAAGCGTGAGATACTAACAAAACAGGCACACACTCATCAAACAATGATCCATAGACTGACGACTGGTTTAGCTGCCAAAACTTGAAACAGTTACTGTTGGTGCGTCTTTGTCTGAGCAGTGTGGCTGCCAGAGCAGAACTTTGTATACTCATCTAGCCATGACGATTTGTTGATCCGTGTCCTGTGTGTCTTCAGCACATCTGGACTTTACAGCATGTTCGCACATACAGGCAGTTTTTCAGTAATATCAGAGGAACCCCTCTCAGGCATATTGGCATTAATCCCAGCATGTAATAAATTCAAATAATTTCATAGTCAGATTCCTCCTTCTTGTGAAAAACGCAAATCGCCTTTGTGATGACTGCATAGTACAGTTTAGTCATTCGTAATTTAATTAACTCGAGCATGCAAACCTGTTTTATCATTTCTCTCATGGTGTTAGCTTGTTTCAGTTTCTGGGCCGAATCCAAAATCAGTCTCTGGGAAAGTGTGGGTAGATAAGCAGGGAAGCATAATTCATTTTCTTAAGAAAAAAAATCACATTAACAAAATTATTGATTAAAGATGAGAAAAGTTTCCATGGGAAAAAAATGCTCTGTTTTTTAATCAACAGGATAAAAAAAAAATCCTTTTTCTGAATTAACGATATTATCTTCTTAATTTAGAAAAAAAGCAGATTTTTGTCATTATGCCATAATTCTATGGTAATAATGTTAATTTATGGAAAATTAATAGATTTTTTTTCTCATAATTCTGAGATAATAATCTTGTCCATTCAGAAAATAAAGAGCAGATTTTTTTGCCATTATCTCATAATTCTGAGGTAATGTTGCAAATTTAGGAAGAAAAGAGTAGATGTTTTTTCTCACATAATCTCATAGTCCCGAGTTAATGATCTTGTTAATTCTGAAAAAAAAGAGGATACAGGTTTTTTTATCTTCAAGTGAGTGCATTACGCTTTTGTAAATATGTGTGAGTCTCCCCTTTCCTTAGAACTACCAAGGTATCCTTGAGCAAGGTGCTTACTGCAGTGTGACTTTTCAGGGACCAGCAGCAGATGCTGTATGTCTCAGTGAATGAAAAAAAAAAAAAATTACATTTACAAGCAGACTTTATATACCGGTACATAATCTTGTTTTCTGATAAGATGCCCTGTATGTTTCTAATGCCTTCTTTCTGTCCTCCTCTCTCTGGCAGGTGAGAAGCCCTACCGCTGTACGTGGGACAACTGTGACTGGCGTTTCGCCCGATCAGATGAGCTCACCAGACACTACCGGAAACACACCGGAGCCAAACCCTTCAAGTGCATCGCCTGCAGCCGCTGCTTTTCACGCTCTGACCACCTGGCCCTGCACATGAAGCGCCACCAGAATTAACTCCGACATACCTGTATATACAAACCATCCCAACCATCACACACAAATACAGCAGTATCCAGACATAACAGCCACCTGAACTTAAGCCCATTAAAGGAATCATGAAGAGATACAGTCCCAAAATCATCCCTGTGCACCTGTGTTTATTCTGGCGCTCAGTGCTATAAGTTGAGTGATCGTCAGCATATAGCAGTATCCAGAGCACACCCACATCAAACACATTTAGTTGGAAACCAGTGATGATCACATCTTTGTCGCTACACCTACTGGTTGGTCAGGCTTCCTGTTCAATGGAGGGGTCTGAGGGAGATGGAGTTAGCTCTCTTTATGCTTCCTGATCTCCTGGTGAAACTCCTCTGTGGCAGGTGAAAAGAGGCAGACTCCAGGTGTATTACAGGAGTCACATGGTACCACACACCTTCCACAGGCCAACTGGGGGTGCAGTTAACAGTGGGAATTGGAATGAAAAAGGGAAAATGCACAGAAAAGAGAATCCAAAGGCAGTTTTTTGACGAATTATGGACATTTCAGGCGAACTGGCCTTGTATGAGTTAGTTGTTCTGTTATCCAAACAGAGAAAGTAGTTCCCGGCAACAGAACTGTCACGGCAAGCTCTATGATACGCAGTATTTCTGAGATAATACTAGTCATCTGCTATCAGTCAACACAGTGTTTGCAGAAACACCAAAGCTAATGATCTACCAGGGACTCTGGGATGATTTTGGTGTCTGTTCTCATCACTGAACAGATGCAGTATGTTCATTTAAAACATACACTGGTCCGACGCATAAATACGCAACCCATACACATTCGCTCGACATCATGGAACTATGTTGTCAGGCTCTTCCGCAGCCTGTGGAACAACCTGAAAACACCTCCTTCTCCTGTAAACATGAACTATATGTTTTCCTACCAATCTGCTGCCACCTTCATCATCAGCATCATCACTGTCAACTTTTATAATTTTGAGGTATGAACTTTTTCACGGAGAGGGGGAGCTGTATTCCCCTCAGTCCTGCCTTTGTAAATATTTGTTTATATCTGTGTGCATACATGTGTCTGAGAATTCAATGAATGTATTGCGATTTATACTTGACAGCCTTTTTTTTTTTTTTTTTAAACAAATGTTAATATGAGTCATATTCCATGTTGAAACTTCCTCCGGATATGATCTCCCTTTAAGGGCCAAAAAGAAAAAAGTAAACACAAAAATCAACAAACACAATCAGAGAACTCTCCACGGAAAAGTTAATAATCGCCCAGTTATGCTTGTTTCAGCACAGGTAATACCTGTCAAGCTCAGAGAGCAGAGTGATTTGCCAATGTTTGTATCCATGACACTGCCCGTTGCTGCGGCAACCAAGCTCCTCTGACGACAGTCTGCGGTTTGCTTGCGGTTTCTATTCAGCGCTGTTTTTACCCCCCCCTTTTTTTTCTCTTCTGTATTTGTTCAACACTTCAACTTCAGAAAGAAAGAGATGGGTGGATAAACCTGTTATGTAATCATTCCTTAATGTTTTAATGTACAGAGCGGCTGGTAAATTACTCTCACAGCTCACAGTCAGTCCTGTTTCCTGGACCAAGGGCAGGTTAACGTTCACTTGATTGCATGACATTAATTGTCAGTTGTGGCTCCGGCATTCTTTTGGGGTTTATAAAAAAAAGTCTCTTCTGCCAGCCCAGGATGCCCACGCATTTTTGTGCAGTGGTGTAGCTTGAACGTCTGCCAACGACAGGAATTACATTTGGGGAAAAAAATGTTGCACAGTACAAATGAAGAGTTCGAGAGTCAGTGTCACCATCGTTGTTCCTGACAATCTTCTGCCACCTTTTTCTCTTGTAGAGAGAATAAGATTAGAAGTTAGAATAAAAGAAACTAACATTTAGGGTTGGGTTCATGTTTGAACCAAAACCAGTTATGGTGCCGTTAGCTGGGATTCAGTACCTATACCCAATGCCACCTTTTTTAAGTATTAAACTCTTTTTAATGAATTTTAAACTCTTTCTAAAGGCAGTAATAAAAATCTTTGAACAAGCAACAGTGAACAAGCAATTCTGCTTGTCTCTGCCGCCAAGCACCCCGAAGCCATGAAGGTCTGCAGCTGGATTTAACATGAATTAGTACTTGGTAGTAGCGACGTAATTCGGTCAATACCCGTAAACATACCTAGTTCAGAACCCAAACTCCAGTGACATCACCACAGACAAACAATTTGGAGACTGAGTTAATGTGTAAATCTAAACCTGCCCTATATGAGCTTACTGGTTATACTGGGTTACAGTGCAAACTTTTCCAGTTTGTCGGAATAATAACTGAAATTCAAATGTCTTCCAGTGGAGCTTGTATAGTGATCAATGACATGTACAAAAATACAGAAATCCCAGAGTTGAGAAACTGTATTTGAGGCAGTGAAATACTTTATCTACATGAATCATGATTTAATTGTCATTCATTCACTTTATCATTGATCATCCACACCTGATCTCACCTTTTCCTCACTGGTTCTAGCACTTTGCCTTGTCAGAATACCAGATACACATCAACGTAAAGTGATGCGTGTTAAGGAACAAAACTGAACGTTAGCAATGTCATGTTGAGAAATTTCAAGCAGCTCCAGTTGACTCGCAGACTTGCTCAGTCATGTTTTTCAAGCCGCCTTTCCACAAGGGGGAGCTGTTTGTTTAGCGCAAGAACAGTTCTATACTTGTACCCCCTGTCAATTTGTGTTTCCTAGGATAGCGAAGGAATGGCCTGCCTTACTCTTCCCTTTAATTGGCTTACCCTGACATTCTTACCATACCACAACCAGCTCCAACCCTTTTGCTGAGACTTAATCAATCCAACCAGTGAAGACAACGAGTATTAGCCAGTCACAGGCAGAGTGTGGCAAGTCATTCCTTCACTAACCTAGGACTCGCAGATTTGTGCCCTGCCTATTGAAAATGAATGTAACAGCAGCAGCACGTCAGACCTGCTGATGTTGACATGTTGGTGTCGACCCCTACAGGCAAAGAAAGTAATAGCTCCTGCGATTGCTCCACCTGCAGGCAATGAATGTTAAAGGTGAATTTTATTTAGAGTACTGTTTGCATTGTGTTCAGTTACTATTCCAGGCATTCACAACCATAGTTCAAGGATGAAACTTTTCTTATTAACAAAGTTAAAATTGTAGTAATTTTCTTACCGCAGCTGTACCATATCACCATGTCTACATTTGTAGTATTAAACTGCTGCTGTTGCAGTTTTTTTTGTTGCCTGTAGGTGGCGCAGTTTGGGCTGTAACTGAAACTAAAATTTCTGGCTCTGACACTGTGTAGCTGGATGATATTGGTTTGGTTGTTTTCAGTAGTTGTCTTTGCCCTTTTAAAAACCACAGACTTTACGAGCAGATACTTAAACTTGGCATTAACTTAAGTGTAACAGGTTGGTGAAGCCAAAACATTTAGACAGTCGCAGAAACATTTTTTTTTATCGTCATTGCAACCTCACCCTGTTTGCTGAGGCTGCAGGCTCCACCCACCTGCACTCCATAAAAACAAGTGTGCCGCTTTGATTGACCCACGTCTGTCCAACATGTGTTCATTTATGGGAAACACATCCTGTTATTTCAACACTATGATTGTTTTATTTTTTTAAGAGTTTCTTCTCGAGGAAACAAGTTCTCCTGTCTCCCTCATGGAGGGAGCACTGACCACCCACTGTGTACATAACTATAGTTTCAGCTTCAACAAAAGAATTTGTAAATATTTGTTTGCTTTTATTTCCTATTATAATATTAATATTTTTTTTTCTTTTTTTTAACTAATGGGATTTTAGATCGGTTGTATGTAAATGCTTGTTTAATTTTGTTTTGATACTAAATATATGTGTGTAAGAGAATTTATCAGTTTATATGCAAATTGATAAGAACAACATATTTTTTGTTTTCTGTTTGTGCAGATGCTGCAATGAAATAAAAAGATTCATAAAATAATTGTGGATCGGGTTGTTTTTTTGTTTCCTTGGTCACATTTTGTTCACATCAGCTTTCAATACTGTCTGAAAAAATACATGATGATGACAGAACATTTTTAAGGTCTCAAATGCTAGTTTCAAGTCGTCTTCAATACAGCATGATGACCATTCTGTAAATTTACAGTCCTGTTTAGAGTAAAGAAGACTATAAAGCAGGGTATGCTTTAGAGCATTGCTACCTTGTGACTGGCAAGTCACTACAGTGGCAGTGTCCTCGGATTCTGAGTCAGATCCACTCCTCATTCCTCCACAGCTCCAACCTCTCGTCCAAATATGGTCACTTCTGGCTCCAAAAAAAAAAAAAAAAAACAAGATGGCAACGGCCAAAATGCTGAACTCCTATGGGTGACCTTTGGTGGCTACATTCACTTCTTTTACACAGTCTCTGGAAAGAATGGATGAAATGTTCAGTAGACATTAAAATGTCAGCAGCTGGACAAACTGACATCGAAAAACAGTCATTGTGCGACATTTGGTAATGGTATAGAAATGTTTTTGTTTTGACGGTGTGAGTAAAACAAACCCAACACAAAAAATGCCTTTAAATGAACTTGTTCAAACCAAAGAAAACACAAAGTCAATGTCAATTGTATGGTGCAATTTTTGGCATTGCCTTTCTTGAGTTCAGTCGTTAATTTGCTCTCATCTTCCAAAGATCTGATTTTCTTGTCAACATGTGATTTTTGCACGGCGCCGATAACATCCTATCTATGAGGAGATAATAGACTGGGTCAAACATTAAAAAGAAAATATTGACGGCTTTTGACAGAAACGTAGAGGAAACAAGAGTTAATCATTCTCCCGCATCGACGACTCTGCTCCATTATGGCACAGCAGGTCGGAGATACCTGATTGTCTTCGCATGACGTGGCAGGTGAAAGGTAACCCCGCCAGCAGGCAGCTCTGCTGGGGCTGCGTGACACAAAAGAGCAGAGGGGGGAAAAAGTCAACAATTAAGCAAGAAGAATAAGTCGGAGTATAAAGATATAAAGGCAGAGAGGGTGGAGTCCACTGCTGTATTTTGCTGTCAGGGAAAGTAATCATTATGTTTGTGCCAAGATGTTGTCAGCACAGAGCCTCGGAGATTTGCCTCATCATCTGAGACAACGCCCTTAATGTTAACACATGTACTCTGCATGTGCATGCACAGGTGTTGGTTTCTGTTATCTGTGTACAGTATATACATCATGAATCACCAAGAAATGTGTTTGATGTGAATTCCTGTCTACAGCGCAGCTTGTGTATTCTTTTCTCTTGAAGACCGCCATTGTTCGTAATTCCATTTCTGTCTTTTCCCCAAAAATCAAATAATGTTTACTAATGCCATTCTTCCATCCACTAAGTACTTTGCTGCACTTTGAATATATTCATTCCTTTATTGCATTTTTATCCACACTGAATGTCCTGTGTCTTGTGTTTTATGCTCTTTGTTGGAATGCGTCACTTGAGTGGCACAACTAATTTCATTGTATTCCTATGCAATGACAATAAAGGCTTCCTAGATTTAGATCATGGATTGCTATTCATTCATGCATCTCAGCTGACCACTTCCCTTCACATTTCGGTACTGCCTACGTTGCTTCAGCTAGGAGGTCAAAGGACCCGTGCACAGTTTCTATATCCACAGTCTCGCCAGTCATGTTAGCAAATTTGTTGGCACAGGTGGAGATCTGCTATCACTGTCAGCAGAATCCAACACATCTTCCATGGGGCAAAATGGTGGATGATCACGTAACACTTCATCCAACGCAGAATGGTTGAGTCATAGAGCTTTAGCACGCTGTCACCAGAACAACCACCACATCCTGCATTGATTTGTATTTTCCTGTTACGCGCTTACGCGATACAAATGTTTCCCTCACTTTATTTATGCAAGTTTGAATGCTAGAATATTTTGTGTTTGCTTGCTACATACGCATGAATAACTTGTGTCATGAACTGCCACTAGTATGTCCTTGGCGTCCTCTGTCTCCGGAGGATCTCAATGCTGATTGACTATCGCGACACATGCTGGTCACTGAAGTACTGGTTTTTCAACTGCACCGCTTCATTTGCGTATTTCACGTCATTCGTATTTCACATGACTAAATTAAAACAATAATAAAACGTTGTATTATCAGCATTAAGGAGTGGACTGTCCACCACTTTGGTCCAGACTTTAATATCTCAACAACTGTTGGATGAATTGGCGAGAAATTGTGGTTTGACACATTCCAGGTAACCAGAGGATGAATCCTACTGATACTGGTGATCCTCTGGGTTTTTAATCTAACACAACCAGCATGACAAACTTCTATTTATCCAGTGAATCATCACAAAATCTACTAGATGGATTTGCACAGAATTTAGTGCAGACAAGGTTTCCAGAAGAAACTATGAATGTCTGCACTAAATTCATCTTTCCAGAAGAATACTAAAGACTCTGGTGATTCTTTGACTTTTCCTCTAACCTCACAGTAATGTTAAAATTTCTGTTTTTGGGTGAAATGTTTCATCAACATTAGGATGGATTGCCATGAAATTTTGTCACACGTTAAAAAAAAACCTTGATCAGTGATTTGAGTATTTACAACATGTTGTGATGTTCACAGAAGTTAAAAGGCACTTCGGTTGGCACCAGCAGTGCTCCAAGCTGTTCCCTGCAGGTACCCAGATGACTCACCTGTTTATCTACAATCAGTTGCTTTTTCATTTGCTGTTCAGGAACATTTCTTTGGCCCCAGTCTCCTGAACGCTCACCTGAGGGCCTGATGAAGCTGGCTGCTCAGCTCACACCTCATTCCACAGTCGCAGCAATAAAACTCCTGTTAAAACTTGTCCGACTGTTCCTGCAGTACTGCCTGCAGTCCCCTCAGAGAAGTGAAATATCTCTCTGATGAACAGGCACAGAAGAACATGAGAGATTAAATAGCTGATACAAAGGGGGAAATAAACACCAAAAAAACACTTTAAGTCATCCAGAGATGTTGTCTCTGTTGTCGTTTTGGAGCTGTTCGTATCCATTTTTTTAAGTCGTGACTCTAGGGTTGTAAAATTTGGTTCTGTATCAATGATCCTATTTACATCTGCTACCAACATGTGTTCCAGTGATCCAAACACAAGTCAACAGCCAACACACCTCACTGTTCACACCTGTGTCTATCATGCATTTCCAGCTGATCACTCGGGTTCAGATTTAATTCCTGCCTATGGCACATTCACTAGAAGGCCAAAGTGCTCCGAGCACAGTTATTACATCTTCACTCCTGCTAGCTGTTTGCTAGAATATACACTTTGCGGTTGTGTCGATACAGCTGGCGATATCACTGTCAGCTGAATTCAGCATGAGTCCTTTCATGGGGCAAAAACAATGGACGGTCACACAAAACTTTGTCCAACTCGTTATGAAGTGGGCAAGTTATAGAGCGTTACATTCCGTATTGATAACGTAGTCCTTGTCGGTGATGCATCAGCATTTATGCTACAAAAGATATGTGGTCGAATGCATCCCAGACCACCTCTGCAAGGGGTCTGAGTGATCTGATCGCAATACATCTGTCCACTTGTGATTGGATCACCCAAGACACACATTTATACAACCCAATCACCAGATTGTAATAGCAACACACATGCTGTAGTTAACATGTGGTTAGGTTTAAGCACAAAAAACACTTTGTTATGGGAAGAAAAAGATCATGTTTTGGCAGCAAAATCCAACCTGGAAATGCATCGTCTCTGGAAAAAAAAAAAAAAACACTTTTCATGGCCCAGTCTCCAGTAAAAAAAAAAAAAAAACACAGCAAAGGGTTGCTAAAAAACATCTTTGTTTGGTGCCTAAAAAGCTACTTGTAAAAAGTGATGGGTGGCTAAAACACAACCAGTTTTGTTGGTGTTTTTTTGGTCTCAATCAGTGCCTTGTAGTGGTCCACAGCTCAGCAGGTGTCTGGCCTCAGTGACACAAGTCAGCTCATATACTACATCACTTCAGAAACACTGATGTGATACAAATGAAACGTGCAAATATAACATTATATAATATTCATGGTTTGCAGAGATGTGCAATGCAAACATTTTCGTCTGGGGACTGGGCTAGTTAATACCAGGTGTAGACAGGGCCTAAGATTTAGTGATGCACGTACCTGCTCTCTCATTGAAATTAAAAGGGACACGCTGACAGTGCATACAGTAGATGTTCCACTCATTCCAACAAATGCTCAACATGTATATATGATCTCACTGAGATTCTATGCAAGTTTTAAGCAGATTTATAAAATTTGGGCCAAATACATTGTGAATCAGTGGCTGTTTTCATCAACTATCTTCCAACTATGTGAAAAAGAGACAAGAAGTTGAGCGCCAGTAATTTTAATACAGCATGGCCTTTCATTACAATAAATTGTAAAAAAGTTACTTATTTTTATTCCTTAATTTTTTAGTTTTCTGTTTTTTAGTCATCTTGTAACTGTGAGTGAAGTGTGACATGAATGCTCTGTCTGTAGTAAGACATACAGCAACATCAAGGTGTATTAAAATCTTCCATTAGCCTCTATTGCATCCTGTGTTCCAACCATCAAAGCCCAGGTGTGAAAGCACTCACGGTCCACACAGGTGTTTTCACTTCTGTCACTTGATTAGGCCTCCTCTCCGGACTGTGAGTTTGTACATACCTTTCTAGGAGGCCGTTTACACGTACACGGTGATTTTGATAAACGGAGACATCTTTCTTCGTTTGTGCCCTTCGTTTACACGCAAACGGAGATTTCTCCTCTGAAAACGAGTCTTTCTAAAAACTCCGGCCAGAGTGGAGATTTTGGAAAACTCCGGTTGCGCGTTTGCATGTAAACTGAGATAAACGGAGATAAACGGAGTTATAGGCAGCCGACGTCACAGTATGCGCCGGAACTTGCGCCTGTGTAAAAAGTGCAACCTATGTTGCTATGGTGACAATGGATACATGGAAGGCTTGAGCTTCTCGTTACA